CTGTTGCCCAGAGTTTCCAAATAGTCCCTCGCAAGTTCCTCCCCCTCCGCTCCTTGACGGGTTGCGGCATTACCACGGAAGGATGGGTGTAAGTGATCTGACAAAAACTTGTCAGGCGCCGTGGTTGAGCGAGCGGGCACCTTTTTAGCCGTGCTTGCTGTGACGCGCACTCTCCGTGCATCATGCCAGACCTGTTCTTTGCTCTGTGATTTTGTAACCTTCTCAATTTCCTCAAGCTGGGCTGTGGACATGTTAATGTATTTATCGTAGAAGGTTCTGCATTTTACACAAGCCAGTGGTGTGTGGTGCTCATCATGGGTTAGGAGATGGAGGCCTGGACATGGTGATGGCTCGATGATGGAGGAGGTATTTGCATTAAAGCAGAGCTGCAGAAGGCTATTCCCAGGGCATTTGAAAAGTTCTGCCATTGGTGATGCAAGTGCGTTCCTCCTCCACTCTTCATGAGTCCTAAAGCGTGTCACCTCCTGTGCCGGTTCTGGAGTGGTAGAGGATGGCTGTGAAGTTGGCGGCGGTTGATAGAGATCCTTCCTGTTGTGCCGTTTGAAGTGCACATACTTCATCTTCCTCTGACCAGCATTCCTTTTAGACCCAGCATTCCACTGGTTCTGTCCGTCTGTACAGGCACTCCCGGTTTTCCCCTGTCTCACAGCATTTTCCACCTAGAGAGATATAGTCAGGGACGGATTTTGACTTGCAAGGCCCCGGGGCCAATTATCTCAAAGGAACCTCTATCACAATTTTTTTCCTGTTATTTTAGCTGCGCATTCACAGTAGCTAATCCCCTGCGCTAAAAAGACAGGCCTATATTGTAGGGTTTACAGAATCGGGGCATAGGATAATAATCATAATAATCAACAATGGACTACATTGAGGTGTATGAAACACGTATTTATTGAATTAACTTCAGATATACACTAAACACTATACACAATTAATTAAAATACATTTACAATGAAAATACATACAATTAAAATCAATTAAAAACACATTTATTGCATCACATGAATAAAAATGTATTCACATTAATAAAAAGTATTTGTTACAATAAAAAATAACATGCCTGTAAAGTTTTCTCTCTCTCTCTTTCTCTCTCTCTCTCTCTTTTTCTCTCTCTCTTTTTTTCTCTCTTTCTCTCTCTCTCTCTCTCTCTCTCTCTCTCTCTCTCTCTCTCTCTCTCTCTCTCTCACACACACACACACACACACACACACAGTTACGTTCGCGCCCGCACATCTCACGCGCCTAATTATTATCATCATGGCACACACACTTTGCACTCTAGCCAAGTCGCCTATGATGTAGTTCGGATACCAACAATAAAAAAGGCCTAGGCTACAATGGTCAAATAATCTAGTTACCTTCCACAGAATCGCAGCTGAGTGGGAACAAGATCTACCTGGTCCAGCAACACACGTACATCCCGTAGTTTTAACTTCTCCAGCTTCAGTTACCAGCACCCAAGCATTATGCCACGCATTGTTCAAACACTGGCTAGGCTCTACATTTGCTTTAAGATAAATAAAGTGATCATGTTTGTATGACATAACACAACCGACTTTGTTGCTGTGCAGATATTGGTACGCCTCGGAGGCTTTCAGATTGTCCATGGCTTTTCCGTCTATTGCCATGGATTGTGCAAAGTAGGAGCAAATATTACTGTACGTTATCCTGGGCCACGTCATCATGTTATCCTCCCAGTTCTGTACTGAATTCGGGTGGGGGATAGTAACGCCATATCCAGTTAAAGTAGTGGAACCGTGTTCCCAAGCTAGCATCTTAATAGCTGTGTTTACACCGGCAGACGCTGTGCAAACCACTTCCGGCGGAAATTAAGTGCATATGTGTAGAGTTATGGCGCCGCCCACGATTTGCCGCGTAAACTTGTGTATAGGGCTTTATTTGAACACTTTAACACTCTTGAGTGCGCTCTCACATATACTCCAACAAGTTTGTGAAGCTTTGCTTGAGTTCATTACTGTAAACACCATTTAAACAAGGATTTATCCTGGATTATTCCTCTGAACCAGTGATTGAGATACAATTACAGTATTTATTAGTATTTAGAAAATTTGAGTTTTTATTTGTATATTTGTTGTTTCTTATTTAATTTTTAGTTATCATTTTAGTGATTTTATTGTTTGTTTGTCATTCATTTCCAAAATGTCAAGTACAATTATGTGGTTTTGTTTTATTAATACAGTGTATACTTTTTACTTGATTTACCTTGAAAGAATGGAAGTGAAGTGTCACAACATGCCCCATAGGTTATAACATGACCATATGACAGAAAATTTTATCTGATCTAATCATAAAAAATATACAAGACAAACAAAAATATTTTTTCAATAAAATACCATAATTAACTTTTTCATATAAAATAACAAAAAAAATGAATTATTAAAAATAAAAAAGATTTTGAGTGACAATGACCACACCGGAAAACACAGCTATACAACATAGTTAAAAACATAATAATAATTAATAATTTCTAAACATTGACTCTCAGTCTTTATTCACCTTTTTCTAAAAGTATAGAATAGAATATCATAGTTCTAATAGCGGCTCATTGTAATGCAGTGTGACAACATGCCCCGCCTGAGCGACTGTGTTAGATCTGCTTTAAACAACCATATCAACTGTTCAATAACAGATATAAGATTAAAATAATTTCATGTCAATAGCACCTTTGGAAATATATTTACTTAGAAAAATGGTGACGTGTTCAATACTTATTTCACCCACTGTATTTAAAAAGAAAAAGTGGGAAAACTTGTTTTGAAAGATTTGAGATTTAAAGTCCCACTGAAGTGCCTTAAAACGCACAGCATTATTCAATGTGTTGATGTAATTTCCACTGAAACAGGAAGAAGGGGCGGGGCATATCGAGCAGCTCCACCCCTTTTTAAAATAGCCAATAGCGTTTCGCTTATATTACAGCTCGGCCAGAGCCATTCAGCAAAGCAGCATTTGACAATTTATGACTTATGCCACTTTCGGTTCTCGAGACACTAACGTGAAACCAGACTTTATTCGCCCCAATGGAAAGCATATTTGAAATATAGGAAAGAACACATTTTGGGTTAATTTTACACAGCAAATTGGGTTGTTTATTTAACCCAGGATAATGGGTTGATTTAACCCAACATAGTTAATTCATTTCTAATATTCATTTTTATTTAATTTGTTTACTTCACACATGAATTAATGTCAACGGATTAACTTAAATCCTCTAAGCTTTTAAAAAAAATACCCGATACAACCACTGGCTTGCATGATAATCCCTTTATTTTTAGTATTCTGTATTTTTAGTATATTTTTGAATAAATCATACAATTTTATGCAAGGCATCAGGCGTTTCCAAAAAAAAGCCAGACGCAAGTCACGTGACCCTAGTGTAGGTGACTCTCATTGCGCCCTGTATGTTGCTTTGCTTAAAATTAAACAATATACAGCAAAATAACGAATTTATAGATACAATAAAATGTACACAAACCTGTATTTTACTGAAGACATGCACCAATTTGGCGGAGCTGCACTGCTCTCTCCTGAAGAGGTCACAAAAAGCCAGCGATAAATAACTCAATCCCTGGGTTGTTATACTTACCCAAGATCTGGGTAGCACAATAAAACTAGGCAAGGCAAGGCAAGTTTATTTATATAGCACATTTCATACACAATAGTAATTCAAAGTGCTTTACATAGAGGAAACACTGGGTTGTTACGTCTGGCCCAGGAGCTGGGTAACACAAAAACTACAGAAATACTGAAAAAAAATAACCCCAACAAATGGCCCAAAAGGCTCAAACCAGGCTTTAGGTAGAAAAAAATAACCCAAGATTTTTTAGTGTGTAGAAAATAGTAATTGTGTGAACAAGTGACCGATTTCAGCCACAGCTTCAGCGTCTATTTATAATGTAGGGGGCGGAGCTTCAGATTCTAGACAGCATTCAATTGGTCTCTCACTTCCACCAATATGGGTCAATGATTCTGATGACATCACTCTGCACTTCAGCATTCGATCATGTTTGTTATTGTTGACTTGCTTGAAATGGTCTATAAGACAAGCGCCAGAGCAAAGACAACAGAAGCCATTATAATCAGTGATGCTTTCTTCAGTGAATGCGACGTGACACAACAAATCCTTGACGGTAAACGCATTCCAGTCAAATCATGACTGCGGATATGAATTTATCAGCTGATCACTGACGCATTAAATGTTCATATCACACCGGTGTTGTCATATAATGGGCTCTGAGCCAAAAGATTGAAAAACAGGCTCGTGGCCATCGGGACAATTCCCAGTGGGACGCTCATAAACTTGGCAGAATAAATGAATTATTGACAGAATAAATAAACTTCATTGAACAAACACTCTTATGATGTTTCTCTGTGGCTGTCTGGTGTTTGTGTGCATTATAATGTGTTTCTCATGAGGGTTTATAATGTGTTCAGCTCTTGAGCTTCATGTTGATTCTCAGTTCAATGAGCCGTGAACATTTAAAGACCTCCGATGCAAAAGCCTCTAAAAGCCACATCTGTCAAAAACGAGATAATAATATTGAGTGAATGCTCTCTGCACATAGTATACACTCATCAAATACTTTCACTTCAAACTCATTAAATCCCAGCCTTGGGTAGAAACCTTTACATAGGAGCCTGATAGAGATGTTAATATTAAACAAAAGCTTTAGACGGACTTAGAGGCTTTTGCATCTGAAGTCTTCATTTATTTAATCTACAAACCCCCCACAATGAGCTCAAAAAGCCCAGGTTTGTCAGAGCAGAAGCGTGCAGGAATCAGGGATGTGTTGTACAGGGGAAAGCAGAAGGAGGAGCCTTTCCAGAAGTGGAAGAAAATCTCAACAAACCTGAATTGCAGCTCGACTCCTGGTGAGTTTATGTTTCCTGCAACTGTGTGTTTTATGCCGATGTGTTACATTATATTATAAAACAGGACAGATATTTGTTGAGATTGTTGTGAATTGCTTATTATTTGTGTAAAATAATTTTCTCAGAAGGATCTTCTTTGGATTGTGATCAGTTTGGTGACGAGGACTAAAACTCTTCCTGGTAAGCGAGTGTGTGTTTACTCTGTTAAAGTAAGAAACAAGTACTTTCATTTGAGTTAGTTTGGATTGTCTCAGTGTGAAGTGTTTAGTTGTATTGCAGTTCAGTTTGAGATAATGTTCTTCATAAATCATGTTTCCTCTGAATATCATTATAAATGACTCAGAAACATCCAGATCAATTTTACATTGAGCTGACAAATATTATCAATTATATTTTTACTGACTGTTGTTGCCTTTCTCGTGTGTTTGTAGTGATTAATGTTTTATTAAACTCTTAGGCACATTTTTACAGACAAGGTTTAGGCCTTAGTTCAATTAGTATATTTAAGTAGTTTTTATTATAAAAAACATTACTGGTGTGCATCTTGAGACAAAACAATGACACTGACATATTTTCTCAGATCTGCTTTCAGTTCAGACAGCTCAAACATGCAGTTTAGTCTGGGACTAGATTAAGCCTGGTCTGTGAAACTGGGGGTTAAACTTGTATTATGAGAATACACCTGGCTTTGCCTTCATTTTACAGTCATACTCCATATTTTCAGTCTCTTTCAGAGATGTCGGCGACCAGCTCCAGTCCAGATGATCCAGTGATCCGGGTTCTTCTGATGGGGAGAAACGGTTCTGGGAAAAGCTCTTCTGGAAACACTATACTGGGAGAAAAGAGGTTTAAGATCCACAAACATAAGCAGCAGCATGAAGCTGAAGTGTGTGAGGGTAAAACTCAGACCGGAGAGAAGCAGGTGTGTGTGATTGATTGTCCAGATCTACTGGATCCAGAACTGACTAAAGAGAAGCTGGAGAAGATGAAGGATCAGCTGGTCTCTCGATGTTCATCAGGACTCAGTGCAGTTCTGCTCACCGTTCCTCTAGAGGAACCTGTGGGAAACGAGGAGGAGATCCTGGATTATATCAAGCGTTTATTTGGTCCTGAAGTTCAGAAGTACATCATGATTCTGTTCACACGTGGAGATGAGCTGGAGGAACTGGATGAACCGCAGACCATTGATGAACATCTACAAGATCATGAGGATCTCCAGCGACTGGTGACTGAATGTGGAGGAAAGTTTCACTGTTTCAATAACAAGTGTCAACATGGTGATCAAGTCCCAGAACTACTGCAGAAAATTGAAGGAATGATGATGGAGAACGGTGAGAAATTTACCATGGACCGAATAAGGTGTAACAGCAAGGACATGTTTGTCAATTGTAAGATGATTTGTTGTATATTCATTCAATATTACACACAAGTTATTTATTCAATGTAATGCACTTATGTTTGTCATGCTCAGATTAATTAAGAGCATCTACAAATGCATTATATTGAGATATAATTAAACAGCGCATTGATGTGGTTTGATGTTTCTGTTGTAGTTTCATCAGAAGATCCAGATAAGATTGATGTGATTCCTGAGAGGAAAGACCAGATCAGACTGGTTCTGCTGGGAAAAACTGGATCTGGGAAAAGTGCCACTGGAAACACCATCATCGGCAGAAACCTGTTTGAATCTTTAACCAGTTCAAACTCTGTGACGAAACAGTGTCATTCAGAAACTACAGTGAGGTTTGGTAAAGAGATCTCAGTGATCGACACTCCTGGACTTTATGATACTGAACTCAATAATGAGGAGGTTAAAACTGAAATAATGAAATGCATTACTTACGCCTCTCCTGGACCACATGCTTTTATTATCGTGATTAAACTGGGTACATTCACTGAGGAGGAGAAAAACACAGTGGAGAAACTCAAGGAAGTGTTCGGAGAACAGATGGAAAAATACACTTTAATCCTCTTTACTCACACAAAACAGTTAAAGAAAGAAAAGAAAACCATTGAGCAGTTTCTACAGGAAAGTGATTCAGGTCTTAAACAACTTGTAGAGAGGTGTGGAAACAGATTCTTCTGTCTGGACAATAAATCTGCTGGTTACCGACAAGTCAAAGATCTGATAAGGAAAATAAAGAAGATGGTGGCAGAAAATGGAGGACACTTTACAAATGACGTGTTTGATGAAACGGAGAAGCACATTCAGGAGATTCAGAAGCAGAAACTGTATGAGAAAGTGAATCAGTTCAAACAGCAGCACAAACCGGTCACTCGGTCAGAATGGCAGAAGATATCCTGGAGTTTAGTAGAGGAGTCGCAACGAGAAGCGCTGAATGGAGCCATTGCTCATCTACACAGAGCAGATTATGATCAACGTCTGACGCTGGAGAATCCTGAGGAGAAAGAGAGAGCAATAAAGGAGGCTGAGAGAAATAGAAACAGTCGTATGAAGGCAGATCTTGTAATCAGAGCTACAGGGAAACTAGCAGAACAGACCATGTGTAGAGTTCAGTGAGAGATCAATTCATCATCAGTCATGACAAAACCTATGCTTATTGCTAATGATTTTTCTTTTTTCTTATTGTCAATATACTGAAATCATCTATGGCCCCATTTACACTGCATGGTTCAAGTGACCCAAATCCGATTTTTTCCTCTGATGTGGCACAGATCGGATATGACCGGTGAACGTGTAAGCAGGAAAAAACCACATGGATTCCGATTTTCTCAGATCGGCTTCAGGCCTCACTCATATGTGGTAATAAATCGGATATGAATCGGATACGTGCATTTGCGTGTGCCATGTAAGCAGACAAATCGGATATTCCCCAGTAAATGCGAGTCGTACGTCACTAAAAAAGTGACGTCAACTCAGGTGGACGCCACCAACTGAGATCACATGACTTATTATAGGCGCGATCGAGGGCGAAGGATACACACAGTGGAGCAATGCGGAGGTTTCATGTCTTTTGAGTGTTTGGGGCGAAGAGACAGTGCAGGCAAAAATGCAGGGTTGTTACAGAAATAAATCTGTGTTTGAAGACATTTCTCGAGATATGGCGAGGCACGTGGTTTTAAGCGCTCGTGGCTACAGTGCCACCGTAAGATAAAAAGCTTAATGACTTTAAAAAAATACTGTGGAAAGCAAAACACTGGATAATTGTATTCGCATCTGCATCCATTGTATTGTGTGCTGTTTTACTTCCTTTTCCGGGTCAGAACGTCTACATTTGGTAGTTTCAGCAGTGTATAGTGTAAATGCAAAAATCGGATACGGGTGACTTTTAAAAGATGATGTAAGCGGGTCGTCAAACAAATCGGATATAGTCAGAAAATCGGATTTGGGCATCAAGACCTGCAGTGTAAATGCAGCCTAAGAAATATAATCTTACATAATTCAAGCACATTTAGACCATGATGTCACTTCCTGGTTTGTGTGAAGATCTGTTTCAGAACATGTGAAAAATTAAACAAGGCACTTTACCGCACAAATTGTTGTATTGTGTTTAAGCATGTGATTAGGCAAGGCAAGGCAAGTTTATTTATATAGCACATTTCATACACAATGGTAATTCAAAGTGCTTTACATAGAAGAAATGAAAATAATCAAAACAAATAAGAAAAATGAAAACAGTTTAGAATATAAAATAAAGTAAAAACAGTCGGACGAACAGTGGCACAGTGCTCATTCAGTAAATGCACAGCTAAACAGAAGTGTTTTGAGTCTGGATTTGAATGTGACACATATATATATATATATATATATATATATATATATATATATATATATATATTAGAATACATACGAAAGTACAATTATTTTAAAGTGTGTTAAAAGTTGTATTGTGAAAATAGGTAAAAGCATGATGCCAATATGCTTTTAATATATCTAGAGATAGTACAATTTGTGTTAGTATATTTGCAATATACTGTTGAAAAAGGGAATATATTTCAAATACAATAAAGTATACTTTTTTTCCACTAGGGCCATCATTACAGAAATTATGTATTGACAATTCTGCAAAACAGCACATTTTCTGTCTGCATGAAGAAGGGGATGAAGTTCTATTCCACTCTTCAAGATTTATATATAAATTGCTTTAGGGTAAAGTAAATGATAAATACATTGAAACATTTGTAAGTGTATGCAATGTATAGCTAAGTAATATTTGTTTATTAATGTGCATTTGTTATTGAAGACACAATGTACAATTTGTAGTATTTGGAATAAGTATCATTGAGCATATACTTTTTACTGAAATACACACCTATGCTATATTGCTTGTATGTTTTGAAGACACTCGTAATGAATTTGTAATGTACTTGTAACACAAAATAAAGTGCACTTTAATATCAATAATCAAGCATGTAATTAGTCCATACAGGCATTTACTTGCAGTATATATTACTTAAAGTATACTTTTTACATAAGAGTAAGTATACTCGAAGTTGTTCCAATTTAGCACACAAATGTACACTAAATACACTGCAGTTTTGCTCTACTACAATTTAATTACAACTGAAATATACTTAGGAGAAAAATAGTTGTTCCAAAATAGCACACTTCAAGTCAACGAATCATTAACACACTTGAAGTATACTATTTTTCACCAGGGTAGAGCAGTTTTACAGGCTTTTATCATGTATCCTGACTCAGATAATGTGTTTCTAACAGCAAACACTCAGAATAAAGTGAGATGATCTGCTGATGATCCTGAATGGCTTGTTGAATGAGTGTTGATAGTCTGAGGCTCATCAATATTAACAGATCTGCTGAAAACACTCTTTATTTCATGACAATAGTTCCTGTTTTCTCCTCATTTATTATGCTGATGTCTTCACATCTCCTGTACATTGACACTTAAAGCTCATTTCAGGGGATTTGTTGCTTATTATACTCTAATTTCTGTCTTTTATGCTTTTAAATGTTTTTCTTACAGTTCTTTACTACTTTTCTAGATATATGTCATATTTTTTTTATAAAGAAATAGAATAATGTTAGAATTAGAAATAAAAAATTGCTTTACGATAGACAGACAGACAGACATATATATATATATATATATATGTGTGTGTGTGTGTGTGTGTGTGTGCTTAAATGTGCCAATTAGATTTAATTTATTTCCAGGCATATTTAGAACAATAATCATTTGATTACATATTCAAATACTGTATATTAGGATCATAGTGCAGCAGCTCCAACATACTTATTCATTTTTATTTTAACACTTTTGCCACTATCCTTCAAACCACTTTTTTTTTGTCAGCATGAAGTTTTTAATCATTTAAAAATAATTAAATTTAGTATGATCTCTTATTTTTTAAAAGCGTTTAAAAAAGTCAGGATAATTATGTTGTTTCATTTTTAATACATACATATGTTATGCTGAATGAATCCAACATTATTTCACCTATATTCTGACATTTTGTTTTCACAAAAGTTATTTCAAACATTACACTTGCATTTACTGGGTTTTCTATGTATATAAAATCACTTTTGTAAATTTAATATCAATCAGACTCTAAAATTAAACATCTGGTCTTTGACTCTATTAAAACAATAGTAACTGATATATTTTTGATTTTGGCAGATAAGCTCCTCCCCCAGCAATTACATCATCACTTAAGCTCCTCCCACATTAGTCACATGGTCAGTGAAGCTCCTCCCACAGTAATTCTCCAATAAATGCTGTAAATTCCCATCAGCTACAAGTGAAGAAGAGCATCAGAGCATCAGGAAGAGCTGAAATCTGCCAAGACTGAGTTTATTAAAGAGGACAGTGAGAACATGAGTGATCCAGAACCCTGCAGAATGAAACACATTGAAGATCCTGAAGAACAAAGAGGTTAGTGTTTATTCTTCATTCATTCATGATGCTGGAGAACATTCATGTTAGAAACATTCAAGCACTTCATCACATTTAGATAAACAGTTACACTATGAAATGGTACAGAATGTTCTTGGTTTTTTTTTTACAAATGGTCAGTAAAGGGAGGTTTCATATGGTCAATATCAGGTCAAGCTAAATCTAAACATTTTATCTGTTTTATTTTACATTTATTTAATATATGGTTTACAATTTCTAACAATTTTACTAGAATTTTGACCTAAATTTTGCTTTTATGTGTTCTTTCCTGCAGTGAAATTCACTTGATCTTGTGTTTCTTGTGTCCCACTTTCACATGTGAAGTCAACGGAAGAAGTTCAGTGTGAACGGCCCTTAATTAAAACGTTTTAGTAGTTTTTAACATAATTAAATATCAATCTAAAAGTTGTTGTTAAAATATGGCAGTATTGTGTATTTTAATGTTCATATCATCTTAGATAATTGTGTCATTGATCAAACTGTAGTTCTCACTACAGAAACATGGGATTTGTCCCTATACTGTTTTTTTTTTTATTTTTTTTTTATAACTGGAAGATCAGAGTACCTCATTCATGGAAAGTTTCAGGGACGTATAATTAATTTATAAAAAAAATATATAAAATTATTGTATTATTTTATAGCAGTTGTCTGTTACATCTGGGATAATTGTAATCTCCATTCACTCCATATTTCTCTCTTTGAATTATTTTGATTATTTAGAAAATTTTAAAATGAGAGTTTTTCTTTCATGTCAGACTCGATGGAGGAGAGCGAGAAGAGAGAAGAACTGAGTGAAGTGAAGGAGGAGAGAGAAGAACTGAGTGAAGTGGAGGAGGAGAGTGAAGAACTGAGTGAAGTGAAGGAGGAGAGAGAAGAACTGAGTGAAGTGGAGGAGGAGAGTGAAGAACTGAGTGAAGTGGGTCATACATTTATACAGTAATGTAACGTTAAGTCAAAGGCGTTGATAAACACGCTGAAAAGCGATTATGCGTGTTGATAGCACGCCAAAAATGGAAATACAAATTGGCGTGTGATACATACGCCATTTCATGAGATCAGTCTGAATTGGTGTTCAATATCTTTTGCATATCAGCATTTTTATTATACAACACATACTTGCATGTTGTGTTGAGTTATTGTATTCATCAAACCACATATGTAGTAGATTACTGTTACTTTTAGTGTTACACCCAAATAAAGTGCCCAGTTCAGGAGAGGATTCCCCACTTCTCTTCTTTAATGGCAGCACAAAGTCTGAAAGGTCAGAAGAGGGAAAGGTGGCTTATATTACATATATTATGATAATAAAGGCCACAGCCTGTTCACCCTGCTGCCTTCTGGGAAGAGATATAGACATTTCTGCTGCTGTACCACCAGACTACAGAGCAGTTTTCCCCCCAAGCTATTAGACTTTTAAGCTCAAATCCATCCTCCGCACTGCTCCATTGAGTAGAGTTTATTTCTGTTGACCATTTTTATAAGTGCTTCTGTATTAATGTATACTGTCTGCTATGTAGCAGAAGGGAGTTACAAACTCAGTTCACTCTATATCTTGTTATATTGTGACAAAATACCTCCCTACCTATGATGTAGGAAGAGGCAATTGTGACACAGAAGAGTGTTGGGACATGTTAAAGGAGGGCTGGGTAGTAAATAAGAGTTAACCCTCTGGGGTCGCTTTTTTCTT